TTTAACAAAGGACAAAGCAGTATGGATTTTTGCTGTAACTTGTTACTAATAATGTTTCTAACTAATAATGTTTCTAAACATTATACATGACTTCTATTACTGAGAAGTGTAGTGATTCATACGTTGGAATAATAGTGAAGCAGTCAGAGAGAATAATAGTGAAGCAGTCAGTATTCAGGAAATCAGTGCTGGTATCCCCTATTTTTGAAGTTGAAGAGGCTAATACCACTCTCTTATACTACTCTCTTATACTACTTCTATCCAAATCTGGGTGGCAAATTAATATATTCAATAGATCAAGTTGCTAATTCATTTCACTATTAGTATTGTTGTCACTAAAGGTAAGTAATTATATTTAGTGTCCTTTAGAATTGGTTTATGTGATCATCATCTCACAGCCAGGCTATAAGAGGTCTAAAATCTGAAAGACTTAGATTAAATACTATATCAAGAAAAAAAAACCAATTCCGATTCAAAAAACAAATTACTAAGGCAAAATACTGTGTTGTGACTAGGCTTCTTTCATTCTTCATATCTTCAGTACAGAAGTCTGGCAATATTGAGGACACAAGCACAATCCCAACAGACACTGCTGACTAGAATATGTCTTAAATATGTGCACTATGTACATCACAGCTGGAATATTCATAGACAAGTGCTCCAGTTTGGTTCTTCAGCGAAATAAATAACTATATGTTGACTTTGTATTGAATGTCATGCATAGTTCAAGATTTGGAGAATCTGCCTCCAAATCTGTGACTTATTTATGTCCACAATAACCGTGAAAAGATGCAGATCTTAAATCACTCTGCTGTTTTCACAAAATGAAGCAAACAAAAGTGCGTGTAATGATTGCTTGTGATTTTTGAATAATCCCTTCATGATTCAATATCTCTTGCAGACTCTAAAATCTGCCACAATTCTATCTTCTTTTTACTTCAAGTTGAAATCTATTTTTGTCTCATAGTAGCACATAGGCAGTGATACAAATGGACCAATTTCCCATTATGAGAGGAAAGCAGAAAAAGTATCTGATGTGGAGCCCCGCAGCACCAGTTATCTTGTCAAGAGGATGGCAATGGGTGCAAAAAGACATAAATAGAAGTTATTTGGTGTTTTAGGAAAGCACAGAGTTAGTTTATTAAGCCCATAGAAGGATCTTAAATGTCTTTCTTAATTTTAAGATAAATAAACACATGTAGTTGGCAGCAATGAGAGATTAAGGTTATTTCTTGATTGCAGATATATATAGTGAAATTGTTGTTGCTGTTGCTATAGGAAATTCATAAATGCACAGGAATGAAATCTTTATGAAGAACCGTTTCCTTCCTGTAAATTTCTATGGAGCAAAAGCATAATTCCTGCAAAAGCTCTCATTCACCTGAACGAGAGCAGAATGGGGTACACTTAAAAAGAAAAGAGGATAAAAACAAGGTTATGTAGCAGCTAACCGTAAGGGAAAGTATTTTTTCCCTGGCTACCTCAGAACAGCTACTGCATTGTCTGGTGTTCCCCTGAAGCAGTGTTCTTGTCTGTACAGAGGCTGGATGAAAGCTCTTGCATTGCATTTTATCAGAGGGAGGCACAAATGCTGAAAATGTGCCAAAGTACACATTAGTATTTGATTTTTTAATAATACCATTGTGTCCAAAGCTAAAGAGCAAATACAATTTTATATCTTGGTATAATAACATGTTGTCACTTAGCAAAGTATGAATAATTGATCCAATGAGTCATTATAATTTCTTTTTAAATTAATCTAGAGTAAAATAATAGTACCTTTTGCAACAACAGTTAGTACCATAATAGTAGAACTTCCTATGTTTAAAATAAGCAAGGCTAAACTAAATATCTCTGAACCATAAGGGCCAGATATGTACCTGCATGTCCTTAACTGCTTTCATATGCTCAAAGTCATGAAGCAGCTTTAAAAACAGGATTCATAAATCCCAGTGAAATAAATTCTCAGATGTCATCAAGCTCCTACATTGCTCCAAAACTTTTTTTTTTTTTTAATTATTATTTTCTGGAATAGACTTGCTATCCTGTGAATCAGAACACAGATTACTGGAGTTTAAACATAGCCATAAAATAACTTGTGGCAGTTATTAGACTTGTCCCAGTTCCTGGGAAAGTAAGGCTGGATGACTGCAATTATTTCCTTTCATTGTCTCCCTTTGCCTAGTTGTGCTACACAGCTTACCAAATCGATTGGAAATGGTAGATTAAAAACAGACAAACAAACAAACAACCTGACCCCCACCCTTTTCCCATAATTTTAGACTCTAGGTGAGGGTCATCTGAAATTCCTTGGGACAGTCGAGCATATCCCAGGGAATGGGATATGTCTTGGAATATAGGGCTGGCTGAACCTAAGGAATACCTCAGCTTTTTGTGGTGTCTAAGGGCATCTATCTGAGAAACCTGCAGGCCTTTGAAATGGCAATTGAAAGTTAAGGCAAACAAACCAATCTTTTGTATCTTTTCTGTCTAATTCTCTTCCTTCTCTCCACCCAGCTCAGGAATCCCACAGAGCAGCCTCATAAGAAATGAAGAAGGAGATCACAGGATCAATTCATTTTTTTTAATTAATAAAATTATCTTTCTGAAATATTTTTTTAAGTTCTCAAAGATTAAAAATGAACAAGCTATCTTAAATTATCACAGAAACAAATCATTAATAAGTGAAACAGAAACATGCTAACAACAAAGGCACAACAAATGAGTAAAATACTGTGTAGATCAATTAACAATGTGCTAGTAAAAGAAAAATGCCCAGACAAGTAATGGGTAATTTTATATTATGCAGATACAGGAGAAAAGGTGTGTAGAGAAAAAGAATATTCTGGAAAAAAAGTCTGTTATGCCTGCCTTTTTCCCAGATCTAGCAGTTATCTAGTTAGTTAGAGTCTCTCTCCCACAGATGTTGCCTCATTTCTATTTATGGGTGGACTATCACAAAAATCATAACACTATTTCCACACATATTTTATAAATCAAACAAACAGTAAACTCTAGAGGAGATAGAGCAAGAGATCAAGAGTACTGAGAACAGCCAGGACTTGAGCTGTCAGAGTCTCTTTCCTAGCCATTATCTGACTCTGCTGGAAAATAGCTTTTTTTCTGGGATTTTTTAGACAATAAAGTAACATAGAAACTTAGAATGGTTTTGGTTGGAAGTGACCTTAAAGATCATCTAGTTCCAACCCCCTTGCCATGGTCAGGGACATCTTCCACTAGACCAGGTTGCTCCAAGCCCGTCCAACCTTGCCTTGAACACTTCCAGGGATGGGGCATCCATGACTTTTCTGGGCAACCTGTTCCAGTGTCTTTCCACCTCTCTCAGTGAAGAATTTCTTCTTAATACCTAATCTAAACCTTCCCTCTCCCAGTTTAAAGCCATTCCCCCTTGTCCTGTCACAACATGCCCTTCTAAAAAGACTCTCTCTGTCTTTCTTGTAGGCCCCTTTCAGGTGCTAGAAGGCTGCCCAGAGCCGCTTTTTCTCCAGGCTGAACAACACCAATCCTCCCCACCTTTCCTCATTGGAGAGGTGCTCTATCTCTCTGATAAACTTAGTGCCCCCCCCCCCCGACTCACTCCAACAGGTCAATATCCTTCCTGTGGATAGAGCTGAGTGCAGTGCTCCAGGTGAGGTCTCACCAGAGCAGAGTAGAGGGGCAGAATCACCTCCCTTGCCCTGCTGGCCACTCTGCTTTTGATGCAGCCCAGGATATAGTTGGCTTCCTTGGCTGCAAGTGCACATTGCTGGGTCATGTTGAGCCTCTCATCCACCAGCACCTCCAAGTCCTTCCTGCAGGGCTGTTCATCCGCCAGCCTGTATTGATTCCAGGGGTTGTCTTGACCCAGGTGCAGTATCTTGCACTCGGCCTATAATCATCTTGCGTTTGGTCCTATAATATTTCTTCCTGGAATCTGACTGGGTTGCAATCAAGTATTACTGAAAATTAAAAACCATGGACAGTAATTACACTAGCCTAATAGACTCTACTTCCCAAGCATTTAATATTTAAGGAATATCCATAGCTTGCATTATTCATATTGACTTCTTTTCTATATTAGATATGTAGCATTTACAGATGTGCTTTACATATTCAAAATTATAAGTTCAAAAGATACTTTGAAAAATTATGATGCCAGCTGGTGGCCACTTAACTTGTGTCTGTCAGAATACTAATAAGGGAAATTAACTGTAAATCTGTAAAGCACTGAAAGGGAGTGAAAAAAACCAACAACAAACCTTTGGCACAATAAAGAATGGGAAAATAGTTGAGTTGCTCATAAAATATAGTGTTTTAGAGGAATTCCAATAAAGATAGGGATATCATATAATATTAATAAAATAGACTTGTGGATTTTAAAACCATGGGAACATTATGGCTGATCTTGACACTAACAAGGAGGCCATCAGATGGTATGGCAAGTGAAATGATAACAAACAGCGTTTTCATAAAGGCTGGAAAGAATAACTGAGAACTGATATGCCTCGTAGATCATATGTCTGGAAACAGAATCTCTGGCAGATGAGAGGCCAAGGGTCAGCCTTGGGTTAGGGTTAGATTGGCCTCTAGGTCACACAAAATGTCCCACTCCCTCCACATCCTGCTCCCAAAATCTGCCAATAGTAGATGCTCAGAGAGGGGGGTAAGAACAAGACAAACATATGGTGACACATCACAGAATAATTGCCCAAGTCCCAGCAGCCTGTAGCTTGCAAAACATATGCACAGTCTTTGTATTTAACAGTTCCCATTGTATTTCCTTCAATACATTTGCTCATTGCTTTTTGAACTCCTGTGACATTTTAATATTCCAGTGCCACATGGCCAGGACTTCTACATTGTGTGAAGAAGTATTTCCTTTTCTGATACCCCTTACTAACTTTTTTCAAATAGACAATCAGCAGTTGATCTCTACTCACACTCTCCACCCTACTTATGTAGACTGCTGTTATCTTTCTTTTGGATCTTCTCTTTTTCAGACCTCCAAACCAGTGAAGAGCTGATGATAGAAGCACTGCCTATATTAATCTGAAGGACATGGAAAGGGGCAAAAGGAATAGGGGAAGACACTATCACTGCAGTGGAGAAGATCTGATGGAGAGTGAAAATGGGCATCTTTTTATTTCAAAGAATACAGTTACAGAAAAATTGAGAGAAGAATTAAGCTTCTTAATTATGTTATAAGCACACAGCTTCTTCTGGAAGCTAATATGGCAGAAGTATTTTTTAAAATAAACAAGATGAAATCAGGTTTCTTGGGAACAGCAAAATAACATACTGGTAAATCTCTTCATTAATTATGAAATGAAAGAGATAACAAAAAACTTAATAAGCTAGGTTTAGTAGTCTGAAGGTATCTCTGGAACAGATGAACAGTTACACATAACAACTTCGGAGAAAGCTTGACGAGATTAAATTGGAAGATTATCATGGCATCCCTATCATTAATGCCATCTTCATTACATCATCCTCAAATCAAACGAAATGAGAAGGGAACATCAATACGAGATTTAGAAGAAAGGTACTCCTGGGGGATCAAGTATTTTATATTTGTCAGCTACTCAAGAAAAACATGGAAAATAATATTAAATATATTTATTTTATAAAATCGGGGGGGTGGGGAAGAAGCACATCATGACATTCTGTAAAATAGCCTTGGGTTTTGATGAAAAGTTAGGAATCTCAAAATATTTAAATGATAAAATTAGATGTTTGAAGCTGAAAAATACACTATATAGATAAAGAGGGAAATCTCTTCACTGTATCAGTTTAGGAATACTCTGGGATGTTCTGTATCTTCTTTCAAGTTACTACTTAAAATGATTTAATAGAAGATAAAGTTTTCAGAATATCACAAGTACAGAAGAGTTCCACCATCTCTTTAGACATGTTAATAACATGGTTATGATACAAGATATTTAAGATGTGGAAAAAATAATTATTGGATTTGAACAAAATAATTTAAGATCAACAAGTAGAAGAAACTTATTATTGTAAGCTGACAAATTATATTAGCCACCAGCCTGCAAACATAAATATCAGTAAGTTAAAGCAATTTAAATGCCTACAAGCATTAACTGAGAATTGTTTGGGGACAGAGTATATTAAGGCCTGGGTGCAAAAACAGAATGCTTATAATTATTCTTCAGATAATTTCAGCATCAAAAATTAATTGTGAAATACTTTCTATATAAAAGATTCTTAAAAGTGTTGGTTTTTACAGATGGAACATTTGAGAAAGAAAGAAATTCAATATATTATAAAATTAAGTACCTATTTATATTTGGGTTAGTGAATTTTGTTTTTCATTAAATTTATAGGAACATAATTGTCATTTGAATTTTCCATTCCTTCTTTGAGAAAACCTTGAAATAATAAATAGGTTCAAAAGGAAGAATACACTCAAGTGTCATTTTCATAGGAAATAGGCTGGTTTCACTTTCCCTAAACATTTTCCACTTTGAGTTTTTGAAGGATCATCACCTCTCAAGGACCACTGAAGATTCAATGTTGTTTAACAGAACTAAAAATTTGAGACAGTCATACCAACCAAAAAAAATAAAGTAGCAGCATGTAATGCAATGCTGTACAACACTGATGCAGCTGTTTTTCTTACTAAAGCAATCTGAAGACTGATGAACATCGAAATACTGAGTTGCAAGTTATCCCTTTGATATTTTCACAGTTCATTGAAGCTGAAAGAAGCTGTGCACTTCAAGGAGTGAAATCTGTGCAGTGTCTTTTTTTTTCACCCTTTGAGCATCTAACATGAGGATATTTGCAGCCTGAAAGTTGTTAGTTTATCAACTAGTTTTTAGACATGACCTGCTTGAAAATGCAGTGCTGTAACAAAAAGGGTAAAGAAGTATAAGCAAACCCAGTCAAGTAATTTGTGTTGCTCTTTTTCTCAGAACTATTTGCTGATGATAACCTTAGTGTGCATAAATTATATACAAATGGGCAATGGAAAGAGCACTTCTGGGCATTTACTGAGCAGCCAGAGTAGGAGAAAGCCAGTACAGTGCTCAGGAGTGATCCAGCTGGCAGCTGGCATCTGGCATGTGTCCTAGCCATCAAGTTTCCTCCTGCATTAAGGAAGGACTCTTTGCCCTGTACTTGTTATTCAGGCCAATGTATTTTTAAAAATAGGTCCTAAATCCATACATTCAACTTAAGGAAATTGAACTTTCTAAATTATTAGGCATCTGGAAATTTCCCCATCAGCTGGCTGGACTACATATTGAGAAATCAAACGTACCAAGGTTGTTCTCTGGAACTAAAGGCAATGGCATGGAGCAGCCCCCACCCCCACAGCTATGAGACTAGGCTGTCCAGAACAGGGTGGCCTGACCTAAATTGCTTGTTGGGAACGGTCCCTTACCCATGGCGTTATCCAAACCATTCCTGGGAACTGCTAAAAAGCTGGCAAAGTCCAGACTTCTCCAATGGATTGTACTTGCATTTTAATGATATAAAGCATTAAATTAAAGTGCCTGAGTATTCTCTCCAGTAGTTTTCAATGGCTATCACAGACATGGCTAGTAAGTACTCCTAGGTGCTCAGGATTTCTAAAAACAGAGCCTCTTGTTTGATTTTTTTTTTTTTTACTATTTCACTGTTCCTATTTGGTAAAGATTAGCCTAAGTCACTTTATTAATTTTCTAATATCAGTGAGAAAAAACCTTCCATCATATCCCTCCCACTAGACTAGGATGTTCTTTCCGGCTTTTCACCACCTCACTTTCTCAGATATGGGGTTAACATTAGCCTGTGAATGTTGAACTTTATGCAGTCCTTTGTGGATTCAGTCTTGTTCCATGTACTGTACTTTTTAGGCAGGCAGACCACAATCCCCTTGCTTGTATTAAACAATATCTTACTCTAAGTAGTCCACTGGCATCAGTGTGTTTGGTTTTGGTGTAAATAAATAACAATGGTGAAAAACACTGGTACAAGTAGTTCCTTGGAGTCAATCCCCACCTTATTTTCCATGGGTTTATGATTTTTTCTGGTCTCTGTCACAGAGCAGTTGAAACTTGGAGCTTTCACAACGTAGTAAATCAGTAAAGAAAAGGAAAAATGGATCACAGTGCTGGTTTAAAAGTTTAATATTTTAAAGTTGTTCACGGTTAGACCGAAGCTATATAAAAAGCAAGAAAGATTAGACAGACAAGTATTTGCATCTCTTCATGCTTGTTTAAGCTTTCTAGCAAAAAAAAAAAAAAAAAAAAAAGTAGATATTTGGTTTGAAAGACAAAATGTCATGAACTTTCCAAAGACAGCTCTTACAAAGTTACCTTGGTGAATTGCTCAGTTTCCCTGTTAAGCAGAAATGTGTCCTTAGTTCCTCAATTATGTCCAGGCAATGACCAGCATGAGTGGATGGCATGAGGTGTACTGGTGGGGGCTGTGTACTGTAAGAACAGAAGGACTAATCAGAAGCAAGCTGCCATCAGGATTATATGGAGGGAAACTTAGGGACAGGAAAATTCTGTGATCCAATGGGCATTAAAGAGTTGTATCAGAGTCTAATCACATGTTTTAAGAAAACAGTATTCTTTCAGACCTCAGGTTGTTTTGAGATTCCTTCTTTTTGGTATGTAAAGCCTGAGAAACAGAACAGTGGTCTAACTATATATAAGTCTACTGTCATATAGTATGCCATCGAAAATGGCAATGAGGACATGTCTATTTATCCTGTAGCTGACAATTATAATCTGAAAGTTGACTCAAACTGAGTTCAATCATTTTAAATCAAAATTTAATTAAAAAGCTTTCTTATCATCTATTTGAACGAAAACTAAAAAGATTCATAAGAGGACCTCCTATTCCTCCTGGTTTGCTATTAAATAAAAATGTATTTTGTCAGAGATGTCTACCTCTGGTGTCAGCTAAAGGAGGGAATTACCTACACATGAGATCTTGAAACTATGTTTTTGGGTTCTACTATAAAAGAGAGGAGCCATATAGCAACAAAAGCTAAGATTAAGGCATTAGTTTCCTCCATAAGTAAGTAAAAAGACACTGCTCCCTACTGAGAGTACAGCAAGCCTTTCTTTCCTCAGAGAAAGGAAAAAAAAAATTCTTAACAAAACTTTGAGAAGAAGCTTTTAAGCATCTGGTACAATTATTAGAGTGGTTTCCTATTGTGCTTACATCTCCAGTTGAGTTGCCTCAATACATCAGCTGTGCAAACACAGATAGAAAAGGAGGTGGAAAACATTTAGTATTTTTTTCTCTGTTCTTCAGAGAGGCTTTTGGTCTTTTTTTTTCTTTTTTTTTTCTCCTCTGAGATGGCAGGCAGGGTAGAATTCATCCTTTCATTATGCAAGTGAAATAAAGAGTACTGCAGAACTGAACTGGAGATTATTTTTCCCAAAGCATGTAAATATTTATTGTTTATACCAAAAACTTCCTTATAGGATATACTGTGGTCAACCAGATTAATGAAGATATTTTATCTTATAAGAACTACAGAAATCTTGATTTCCATTTTTTTGTCTTCATGTTCATGCTGGGCAAAGGACTGTACATTGATTTTGAGACTCCATTTGAAATGTTATATAATACTCAAAATGCATGTGTGACATCAGTAACATAATTACAAAAAGAAAAATAGAAAGGCATTACAAATTGGGCATAAACCTGTGAGGGGCTGGGAGTTGGACTCAATGATCCTTGTGGATCCCTTCCAACTTGGCATATTCTGTGATTCTGTAATTCTGTAAAATGGTTACATGTTCTCATATAACCACAGTATTAATTTTATTTTTTTTAATTTTTTATTTAGCCATCATCAAAACACGAAATATGTTATTAGGACCTCTTAATGGAAATTATAAATGACAATCACAGTCATTATCTTATCTTTTTCTAAAAAATGAAACAAGCAACAATCTGGTATGATTTTTTTATTATCCATAGCCACACCAAAAAAAAAAAAATATCTGTCTAGTTACTCCAGATTACTGTTAGCAAGTTTTTACATATAAATCAGGACTGAAATCCATGTTTCTAAACATCTGTCCTCTCTCAAATAGTCACAGGACTTCAAGTGATAGTGTCCTGATAAAGGATCGCTTTCTGTTTTATCATAGTATATTTTTTGCAGGAGAAGTATAGGCATAATTGTTTGCATATTTGAGCAATGTCTTCTTGAATTACTAAGGACATGAATATCAGTTTTAACAATCAGGCCTTTAATGAAAAAATATAAAAGGCTTGTAGGAGAGCACATTTTAATAGTATTTATTTTAACTTTTGCCATTCAAGTAGGGGTTTATTCAGCGTATATCCACAAAATGTACTGACTGGTTCAATTTAATGGAAAGAGAAGCTGCAGAGTTCCATATCTAGAGATAGCTCAAAATTAATTATTGGAGCAAGTTCACCAAAAATCTTTAATAAAGACTGATCTGTAAATCTTGACAGTTTTCTCTGTCAAGAAAAAATTTAAGAAAAAAATAAAGAAGAAGAGAAGTCTTTTAATCCTAAATGGATAATTATAAAAATACCAGCATGAAAAAAGTAAACCTAGGCTAACAAGATCTGTCGTAGGCCACTCATGTCAAAATTAATATTTGAAAGAAAAATTCAGGTGACATAATAGTGATTAATTTTGCTGAGTGATAAATACGGTTCCTACAGAGAAAATGTGACTCTCCTGCAGCAACCCTCAGGCAAATATCTGAAATATGCTAGTATAGAAAGATTCCTGTGTATGGCAGATGTTCCAATGAAGACCTTGCATTAATGTTGCCAAGTAACAATAATAAAAAAAGATAATTATGAACAGTGCTTGCTTTCTATGACAGATCTATGGCATAATACAGAAGAATATCTTATGACATATAATGAAGCATGGGTATTGAGTGAAGCAGGTAGGAGGGAAATTTGTAAAATATAGCTCAAATATTCTTTCAGGTAATTTTTCATCAAAACTTATTCTGCATATCTTTTCCCAAGAATAAATTTTACAAGAGAACATTGAAATGTCTGAAATGTAAGAACATATATAAGTGTTTTCAAGACTGAAGACAGAAAAATAGAATTATTTGACTTTTGAAGAATATAATTGTCACAAAGTGAAAGTGAAGGCAACATTATTTGATGGGTATTTGAGATGTAATTCTATCTACTCAGTTGTTAAAGGTTTGGGAGGGGTGTTTATGTTTACACTTGGTTTTAAAACAATTCTTTGCTAGTTTTATCTTTCTGTTCGTTTTTCTAATAATAAAAATGGGTCCAAGCAAACAACTTCTATGCCTTTCAA